AGAGAGAGAGAGAGAGAGAGAGAGAGAGAGAGAGAGAGAGAGAGAGAGAGAGAGAGAGAGAGAGAGAGAGAGAGAGAGATGTACACACATCAGCCCTTGAGTGCAGACTGGTTGCATGTTATAGTTGCTAGACACCACTGTACACAACCCTCATCCATCAAAGAGGAGGCGTTGGGAAACCCCGTAGCAACCACCCACGCACTGTCTGATAGAGATGCAGTCTTATACGAGGCCTGCAACACAGTCGTAGGTTTTGTATCTAACCTAAACTGAGCAAAAAAAAAAAAAAAAGAGAAACTGATCAGGTGTAGACTCTTTTTTTTTCTAAGGCAAAGTGGAAAATGAGAGGACGTCTCGCAGGAGAAAGGGATAGGGAAAAGGTGGGATGAAAAAAAAGAAAAACAGCTCAGTCACTACAACTGCTGTCAGCAAGGTTTGAATGGGTGCAAAACACCGCAATCAACCAATTCTGAACGGCGAAGAGAGGTCGGCCTCCACCGGTCATCTCCAACAGAGATTGACCACAGACAGAGACACCGAGCAGTCCACACACAAACTATCCAGACGAGACGAGGTAACATTACCAGACAGAGAGACCGAGCGGCAAAGAGAGGTCGGCCTCCAGCGGTCATCTCCAACAAGTATGCTAGCAGCATGCTTGTAATTAATAAATTGAATAGTCTGCTTGGCAGCCAGAAGCTGCACACAAACTGTCCTAACTCCTCCTCCTTGTAAACTCTGCCACTGCTGCGCTTCCTCCTTCCCAGGCTTCTCCTTGGCAGCCAGAAGCTGAGCTACTTTCCTCTTCTACCTCCTCCTCGTCCTCGTCCTAACCTCCCTCACCGCTCCTCCTCCTTCCCAGGGCTTTCGCTCATCCTCCTGCTGTTTCTCCCGCTCTGCCAACTCCTCTTCTTCATCTTTCTGTGAATACATGAACACATAAAATGCTTAGCACACAAAACTGACTGGTACACTGGCGTTTGCACCGTCTTTGCACCGTCTTTGCGATCGACTTCTTATGGCCGCACACACCTCTTAACTAACCCCGAATATCTACATACCACATGCTACATAATAAACACAATAGATTTAAATTACACCTGTGCAGAGAGGGAAACCGATGGTCCTCAAAGTCTGCACAGTGCATACAGTAAACCTTGTCTTCTTGATGGCTTGATGAGGACCGTCTTAGCACGAAAAAAACACTTGTATATCTTAAGTGTCTACCAGTGTTATCTTGCTGGCCCTCTGGAGACACCACAATGATAAACATTCCAGCTTCTTCGTCCTGGGTATCGGCAGTCGATGCCATCAAGCGGCATCGTCCACCCCAAAGCATCATTGAAGGGTTTAGGAGCTACCCCACTGCTGTTGTGTGTGTGCTGTGTGCGT